ACCTCATCGATGGTTCTGCCTTCTGTATTTGCACCACCAAATGTTGGAGAGAACACACAGATTCCTGTTAAGCAGAGGTCAGTATCAATTATCGATCATAATATATGTTGGATATTTTCACAAAAGGAGGCCTTTCGGCATAGAACATTGTGATCCCTATCTCAGATTTGCTCAAACAAAATCCACTGGCACTGTGTAATGTTATCAGTTGATTGTGCTAGTCTGCTAGATATGGTAAGGCCATATAGTTTACTGCTAGTTGCAGTATGCTTTCATTTTAATGCGCTCACCAACTTTACATCTCCTTTTTCTGAACTCTGTATTTTGTCATGCATCCACTAAACCGATATTGTTCTTATCAGCCCACCTCTATCTGATAGTCCCTGGAGATCAAGCTCGTCTGAGTTGCTTGCTTTCTCAACGTCTCTTAAATCTAAAATTTCAACTGCTTCAGCCAGGTACTGAGTTTTCCACGTAGATTTTTTTATATTAGTATTAATCTGAGAGATGCCGAATATCACCTGCTTATGTCATGTGAATAGGTACAAGGAATCAATATCAAAAGGTACACGTGATTTTAAGGAAAAATTGATAGCAAGCAATGACTCTGTCAAGGAACTAAGTAAAGGAGTTCAACGCGAGATGAGCACAGGCATTGCTGGAATTTCCAGGATGATTGGTCGCCTGGATTTTACCTCAAAACAAGCTAAAGTTTTTGTTCCCTTATCCAGTGATGCTCCTGGAACTTCAAACTCTCCAGTTGAAGGAGAAGACAACACAAACGTTCATGCTATTAACCAAAATACCAGGGAAACTAAAGATCACATGAAATCAGTTCCCTCCTCTATTACTCATCAACAGCTTCCCAGGATGCATAGAAGTTTTTCTTGCAGAGGTTCGCAAAATTCACTCCTTATTTCTTTATAGATACTGACGATTGACAAGTCTCCACTATGTAGAGAAGACTGAACTGCACAATAGATGAATGTATAGCTTATTTTTCTTCTTTAAAATTGCCCCGTGATCCAATCCAAGTTACTAAACTTTAACATGCCAAAAGCTTCTCTATTTTCCATGGGTATAATGTTTCTTGTCTCGTAAGTTTGTAGGTTGTCTTCCTTGCCAAAATTTCTTGCTGTCTTAATTCTTGTGTACATTAATCTTATGCAATGAGTTCACATTGTTGCAAAAAAGAAATCATCTTTCCTCTTAGTTGTTTCCTACGAGTGTGTTTTTCGTGCATTTTCATCATGGTCTGATTTTAGCTCAATTCTTCATACTCGAATATAACCTCTTAGATTGCTTCTTTTGAAATTTGCTTCCAGCAAAATGAACATTTTCTCTATTGCAGCATTTGCTGAAAGTACTATTCTGAAAATCATGGAACATTCTGGGATCACGGTAATGGAAGGTGATCAATATACTAGGTTATTATCAGTAAAATAGTTTTACGCGTCAATATATGAATTGACAATGAAAATTGTGCCCTGAAGAATTTTAACTGTATCATATCTTTTGATTGTGCATTTTCTTATTTTCTCT